CCCGGACCGCCTCCGCCTTCCTCTTCCTCTCTAACGTTCCCCCCCCCTCTCCGCTTTTTGCCTCAGGGCGCGTGGGGGAGGGACGGCCGTTACCAGCGCGGGGTGGGGGGACGGCGCCGTGGAGCCCCCTCTTTGTAGGGGGCGGATAAAAATCCTTGAAAGAGAAAATAACCCCTCAAAAGCAAATTTCAGCCGCGGTTTCCGCACCCTTGTGTAGCGCCGGGCTCGGCCCTTCCGGGAAGGGGCAGCGCCGGCGGCTCTGGCCCGCGTTGCACCGGGCGCTGCTGCCCGGGCTCCTTCCTCCTCCCCGGCGTGAACGCGCAGGAACGTCCGCAACAAGTCGCTCTGCCCGGGCTCCAGGGTGTCTTCTAGGGACCCGCCACCCATCTCTGCTGGGAGGCGGCGGGGGACGCTGCCAGGTAGAATTGTGAAAACCTTCTTTAAGGAGTTGTTAAATGGCCAGAAATAGCCCTGCCTCGTCCTTGCGGCAGGGCCAGAGCAGCTTCGCTGGCATTTCCCTGACAAAAGCATAAGCGGGCCCTGAGGAGGAGGCCATGTTAGATGACAACTGTGTTGTCCCAGCACTTCGGCCCGGCCATCTGTGGGTGCCTTTGTGTCGGGAGCCTCCTGCTCTGTGCTCCAGGAGAGGAGGTGCTGCCCACCCGCCTGCCTTCAAAGCGTTAAATTAGACTGTCGCAGCCCAAATGACCCTTTTCTGGAACGGAGTTTAAAAAAAAAAAAAAGGATCGAGCGTCTCTTATTGCTAATTGGCATAACTCGGTGAAGCACTTCAGGCTTGTCTCTTCCAGTTAGCGGAGGGTTCTTGTGTAAAAATAATTTTAGATAGAAAGCTTTTGTGTTTGGGCAGCTTGCTGCAGAAAATGTGGCGTTCCGCATTATAAAGTGCTCTTTTATATTCACTAAGCATTACAGGGAAATATAGGCAAATGCCTATTAGGACGGGATCTTATGTAAGACTCGAATCAATATATTGGTAACTGCAGAAATGAGCCTGTGTGTTCAAACTCTTCAGTTATTATATGCTTTAGTAATAATGAAAAGCATTTCTAAGTCTTGGCAAGAGGTAGTAACCACTGCTTTGTGCAAGAAAAAACATGTTTGCAGCTTGCTAACTTGTTCTGGACTGAAATTATAATCGTTAGATTAATGTACTTTGAACTTGGTTGTTTGTGATCTGCAACTGATGCTGCAACAAGCTAGTTAAGTGCATCCTGCTTTGATGGGTTTTATTGCCCTGAAAATAATAGCCAGTTTGGGGAAGTTTAGTATGTTTTCAGTGTTACTGCAGAACTTCCAGAACATTTCTGTATTATTTCCAGTGTCTAAAATGGGAACCATAGCTCTACTAAAAGAACAACGGTAAGTAGAAATGAAGTATGTCCAAAGCTCCTTGGGATTTCCCTGATGAATGTGCGATTCTGATTTATTTATT